GAAGTGACAGTCACTGTGATCCGGTCTTCATTTTCGAAAAAGTAAGGTCCGATGACCCCGTGTGACGAAACTGCACACCATACTGTGACCTTGCTGGCGTGTAAAGGGCGTTCATGAACTTCTTTAGGGTTGTAAGATGGAAATGGGCCTCATCTGACATCCATAGCTTGTCCAGAAGTTCATTGTCCTCGTTTATGTTTGTCATAATTTGCTGACAGAATTGTAATCGCAACTGGTGATCGTTCTCCTTCAGCTGTTGCACAATTTGCAGCTTGTACGGATGAAAATTTAAATCAAAACGGAGAATTCGGCGAACACTCTCTCGGGACACTCTGACTGCAGCTGCTTGCTTACGAACTGAACGCCGTGGGCTCTGTAAGACTAAAACGCGTACAGTTTCGATATTCTGCTGAGTACGAACACTTCTTGGTCGTCCTGTCGGTTTCTTTTTCAGAGCAGATCCAGTCTCTTCAAAGTTTTGAACCCAAGTTTTTATCGTGTGTTTTGAAGGAACGCGACCATGACGCCCTAATTTGAAAAAGCGATGGAACTCCCTCTGCGCACCTTCCAAACTATCGTCTGTTTTGTAAAACATTTTTATCGCGAAAGCACGCTGTCTGCCGTTCCATTCCTCCATTATTACTGAATGGCGTGATTGTTTACAGCTCACAGTCCCCTTTCCGTAGTGCTACGAACTGTACATGGCTGCCACTACGCACCTCAAAAGTTCCCATTTTTCTGTGTCACCTTGTACATGCCTTAACGGCATATACTTGTGCCCGGAATACTGTCGTGTACTGCCCGAGGCTAAACTAAGTTTCCACCTCGTGCCATAGCAGAACACACCAGCTCCAATGCCCTTATTTATCTTGGAACCATCTGTATACCAGATCAGTTCCCCTTTTCTATTGACTGTGAAAGGTTTTTCATATACATGTGTCAGTATCATTTTGTCAGACCCCATTTGTAATATGGGTTCTCTTTTTCATGTCCTGAGTTATGTATGCATGTCTGAAACTACTGGATTTAGGTTTCCATTGATCACTGCATTGGAGATGGTAAGATTCCTGCCCTGGCCTCTGCCTCCAACTGTGTATGCACTGGGGGGAGTCCAAGGAGTGTCTCCAGTGCAGCTGTTGGAGATGTTCGAATTGCTCCTGTGGTACCCAAGCAAGCCAACTTTTGCAATTTGCTAAGTTCTGCCTTGCTTGTCTTGAGTTCAACTCTGGGCCATCATATTGTGGCACCGTATGTAATTATGGGTCTTACAACTGCAGTGTATATCCAATGCACAATGTGCAGCTGCAGTCCCCAAGTTTTACCAAACATGCTCCTGCATGTCCAAAAAGCCTTATAGGCTTTATTGATGACCTTGTCCAGCTGCTTTTTCCATGTCAGTCCCTTGTCTAATACTAGACCAAGGTACTTGACATTGCTGGAGAGCTGGATCGTCTTATTGAAGAGGGTCGGTTCCTTAAGGCCCTTTATATTTCTCTTCCTGGTAAATGGTATAATTACCATCTTATTGGGATTGATGGAAAGGCTTGTTCTTTCAGACTATTGTTGGACCGTGTACAGAACTGTTTGAAGATGCTCTGATACTGTGGAAAGGAATTTTCCATTTATGAGGATTGCTATGTCATCAGCATATTCTACTGTATAATACCCATCGTCATTAAGTCCCCACAGGAGATCGTCAACGACCAGGCTCCACAGCAGAGGCAAGAGCACCCACCCCCCCTGCAGACAACATCTAAATGCGAATGCCCCCAGGGTCTCTCCTGATAGTGTGGCAGCTATGGTTCTGCTTTCCAGCATAGCGCTGATCCACCTGCATATTGCAGTCTATGCCATTCTTTCCAGTGGCCTATTTTGATTATATCAAATGAGGTTCTATCAAAAGCTCCCTCTATATCAAGGAATGCTCCTAAGGCATTATCCTTGTGCTCAATCGCACTTTCTGTGCATGTTTCCACATTGTGTAGTGCACTTTTGGTAGATTTACCTGTTTGGTAGGCATGCTGGTTTCGGTATAGAGGACATGTCCCTGAAATTCCTATCCACTATTTTCTCCATCGTTTTAAAAAAGAAAGAGAGGCTGATAGGACGATAAACCTTAGCCTCAGTGTAATCTAGTTTTCCAGGCTTTAGGATAAATGTCACCTTAACTTGCCTCCATGCCATGGGGATAAGACCATATGCCATGCAGGCTCTATATATGTGGCATAGGTGTGGAAGTAAGAGATCTACCCCTTGCTGCAAAAGTGCCAGTACAATTCCATCTGTTCCCGCTGACTTAAATGGTCTAAAGGTATTCAGTACCCATCTGTCATTTTTGCCATCACATTTGTTAGCAAGTGATCAGCCTTTTTTATGCTGATACATATTTTCTCTTGCAGCTTCCACAACTGAGCATAAATTTTGGTGAAAATGAAGTATTCCTGGTGATTCTTTTGTGCTCTGTGTTGAATTATAGAAGGCGAAGGATCCAGGTTTCAGATTTTTTGCATATACTTTCTAATGTTTATAGTTTCATGGGAAAGGTGGAAAATGGTGGACTTGTGTGTGGTGTTACCAAATCTCAAGAACATACATGCTACAACTCTTTAATGAACCATCACAACACAACAAATAGTAAAACATCAAAGTCAGCGTTCAGCTGTGGCTTTGCTACATGTTTTGGCCACTATCGGCCATCATCAGGCAAATACATATCAACAAAAGTCTACCATTTAACTCCAATCATAAAATGGATATAACACTATTAATCGTACAAATTTAAAAATGCTTATGTAAAAAATACAAAAGTTCAGATTATACAAAAAAATTAAAAATTGAAAGTATTATAACAAGATATAATATTAATGATGTTTTCAAAAACATTGAATAAGTTGTTGGATATACTTTGTGTGCATTTCCATAGACAAGAGGGAAATTCGATATTACTTTATATAGAAGATTTTAAGAGAGGCCCATGGTGTAGCAATTAATGAATCTGAAAATAATGTAAAAGTAGTAATGTTAAATTTTGTTATAATTAAATGATTTAACATTGAAGATATAGTATAAAGTATATGTTATTACTTACTGTGTAATGTAGCCGTACCACTGACACCACCAGCTTTATTTGTAATCAGTATTTCTTTTTAGAGTAATTAAGCATAGGATGTAGTAAGGAACATTCAAGGGTAACTTAGCGTGACTCTTGGTTTCAAGAATAAGGCCTGCTTCACTGCTACAAAGACCAGGCAGGAAGCACCCCGCCGAGTTTTCCAGGAAATTCAGTTCGAAAGTTGACCGGCGGGATCCTTTGGTAAAGTTACACTTGACAGGTTTTGAACCCCGTAAGTCAAAAGTGGGAAGGCCAGCAAACCACGGTACTGGTATAATTTTTCAAGCAGCTGTCAAAAACGACGTTAGGACTTTTAAGGTCCAAAGTCACAAATTAAAGCTAGGTGATTGGAGCAGTGAGAATTATGGTTAACTCCCCAAATTCGAATTGTTCCAATCAGCCAAAATTAGGGTAGTAGCTTGGAGGCGGAGCTGAAACTGTGAAGATTTCTTGCTTCGAAGCAGAGTCAGTCTGCTAAAGGAGTCTCTGAACAACTCTCCAAGTGTAGAGTCGAAAAATTAGTGTCACTGGCAGTTGGGTTTTAAAAGTCAAAGTTAAAACAGAATTATGTTTAAGCATGTTACGGGAACAATCCTTGAATAACTCTGCAAAATTTAATGTGCATCTTACTTTGTCTTGAAAGTTTAAGCGAAAGTGTTACTCCTGTGTGTTGTGCTAAAAGAAGCAGTCACGATTTCAAGGTGTTTTAAGGGATTAAGGACAAGTGCTGTTACATGTATATCAAGATCTGCTCATTAAACAGTGTGTGGTAGTGCCTAGCCATAAACACTCTTATCTTTCCCGCTGACGTGGGGCCCGTATGCACCCTGAAACAGAATCTCATTGCTCTAGTGCGAATACAGTACCTATCACCTGTAGTTTCCGGTTCATCCCCCCTTTTTCCTGAAATGTAAGCCTTTATAGTAAGCTTACTGGCGCCCAGCATTCAGATAACTCATACTCCGCAAACAATTATCCACAACAACAACAAAAAGGGATAAGGAACTGGATAAGAAGGATGCAGCAGCAACCTGCAAACTCAGAGTACCAACAGGTGAGAGGGAACGGCTAGAGGAGCAGCTGCAAGCAGCAACCAAGGGGCCAAAAAGACAGTAAGAGAAGGAAAGTGGCACCAACATAAGGAAAGAGCGGTTAGAGGAAAGTGACGCCCAACGGAGTAAACGGTTACAGTAATGCTGCCTCGTCATTAAGAAGAATTGTCCGTATTGCATGGAAAGCAAACAACGACTGGATTAAGGTCGATGTAAGGGAGGGAGGGGGGATAGAAATTAGGTGTATGCGGAAGTGATGGTAAGGGGGGAGGGGAGAGAGTATAACTGTATATTACGTTTTGTGTGTATCAATTATAACATCATATATAGGATTAAACATTTCAGTGAAATTATCATTCAGTTGTAGGTTTTGTTTACTGATTTCGTATATATGAAACTTTTTCGTAAGTATCTAAGGTTCGCCCTTTCTTGCCGATATATAAAACTTCCAATGTTTTGTCTATCGTACCATATTCATGTGTGATGTCCAACACATGTTGAGCAAATTTGGAACTTTGTCCGTTATTTTTTATGTCACGTATGTGTTCTTTGAATCTGATTTTAAAGGTATGTCCAGTTTGTCCAATATATTTTAATGGACAATCAGAACATTGTAGTTGATAAACCCCGCTTAGATTATACATGTCATTTTTGTCTATGGAAACGCACACAAAGTATATCCAGTGACTTATTCAATGTTTTTGAAAACATCATTGATATTATATCTTGTTGTAATACTTCAATTTTTTAATTTTTTGTATAATCTGAACTTTTGTATTTTTTACATAAGCATTTTTAAATTTGTACGATTAATAGTGTTATATCCATTTTATGATTGCAGTTCAGTGGTAGATTTTTGTTGATATGTATTTGCCTGATGATGGCCGATAGTGGCCAAAACAAAGCCACAGCTGAATGCTGACTTTGATGTTTTACTATTTGTTGTGTTGTGACTGTTCATTAAAGAGTTGTATATTGTAGCACAGCAGGATGCATGAAATTAAAAACATACATGCTGCTGATGCATGTAGTATCTTAGGACAGTGAGGTTCTCTCGGAAGATTTTGGGAACATCATAACCTTCTAACTCTGTCTCTCTTGTTATAACATGACATTACTCACCCACAGGCTTGGTTGAATCCTGCAGTGGTTTACCTGCTTTACATCCATATAAAATATGACAAAACATATGTGGGGAAGTCATAAAATTTTAATTATCACCCAGAAGAAACAGACACAGTAAAACAGATAAAAGTCCAGATGAAGCCCAACCTAAGCTGAGAGTTAAGTCAATATTGCAATGACAGTGAATTTAGTATAAGAATAATTAAAGAATGCTGCAAAAATTGTAGTTGCTTGAAGATGGGCTTTTCAGCCTAATACCATCTGTATCATTTCCTTTCCAAAAACAAAAAAGTACACACCTGACCATCAGAGTTAGTCATTTGTTGCATAAGAGGTCTGAGAGTCATGTTTATGAACAAACCTGTCAGCATAGTGCAATTGTTGAATATGCTGAAATTTGTTACCAGCTAAATAATGATAAGAAGTAGGTCTGTGATGACAGAATGTGTTATTTCTACCTGTATTTCTGTGTTGGTCTCTGTAAACATGTTTATTTTTGGTAGGAAAAGTTCATTTATAATTATCTTACATCTGTTACTAACATTTGATTATGAATGAGGTCTAGTACTTCTGATAATTCATGTTATTGACCAAAAATATAGTGTGGTTCATTCTGCAGGTATATTGTTTTGGTTGTATAAATCTTTTTTTGAGAAAGAGAATTTGACTTCAAATGAAGATATGTTGATATTTAGTTGTGTTTTTTCATCACACTTTCCACTTCCTACTTTTCTGTGGTCATGTAATTGATCATTAGATCACCTGTTGGAATAAATGTGGTGAAATGTGTAATTATCTTCTTTGTAAGAAAATAAATTTTTCTCTGTTCCGAAATCCACATATAATAATAATAATATAATAATCCACATGTAATAAAAGTAAATTATGAATGATTCAGTATGCAAATTCAGGCTGCAAATGAATTCTTTGTGAGTTCACTGCATATTGAAGTTTGGGACAGTTTAGTTGAACATCAGATATTTGTCTTTTTGAAGTTGTATAGATTTTGTGGGTATACAGCCACAATCTGTATTTTACATTTTTACCTATGTATATCCAATAATTTAATCTAATGAGGACTTTTCCTTGTTAAAAAGTGTTGTTTTGTTTGTTCCTTTAAGGATGCGTGTGAATGTTGAAATTTAGTTCAGTAATGGGGTACACGTACTGAGATTGCATTAGGCCACATTCTGATGGGCCACTGCAGCCACCCTTAGAAAAGAGGTTCTGTCTGTTATTAGGTGCATACAAAACATGTGAAAGAAGCTCACCGCCTGCTGAACAAGTCGATCATTCGTGTTGAGCAACCTGACATACATCTGGATGAAGAGGAACAGCTGGCAGATGAGCCAATGGATCTGGATGGAGAAAATAGGGATGTACCAAATGCTGAGTCCAGGGCAATGAATGGTATGCACATATCACTTTCCCATTTCATAGGCCCAACCGAGCAAGTGTTCCCCTTCCTTCTTAGTTTGAATATGCAGTTATCTATACCACATTTGAAATGAACATGGATTGAATTCTAATACTGGCTGTCCCAAGCTTTTCATGGTATTGCAGCATGTAGAGCCATTACTGTGCAATGACCATGAGATAGGTAAACATACCAAAGCTGTTTCTAGAAAACGTCTTCGTAAACACATTCCTGCAGCAATGGATATGCATGCAGCAATAGAGGTAAGGTTGTAAACAGTGTTTTATACTTGGTCCATGCAAATGGGTTATAAGAGTGGAGTTGGAAGGGAGAAGACTTGGGCCCAGAAGCAGAGGACTAGCCATTATTAGAAGCTGTTACTAGACACTGTTAGTGAAGACACTGCTGGCTGGAAAAGACTTAGCATGATCTGTAAAGTGTGGAAATTAGCAATGGCGCTATAATTAATTGTAATTACAGGTTGTGTGTTAACATGGTCGGTAAATCTAATATCCAATCCAAAATCCCATCGAGAGTCACACTCATACACGTGACAGTATCCTTTAGCCTTTCCAGGTAAAGTATTCCTCACAGTGTGTTCCAGAGTTTGGTGGAGGTGTGCACAGTAGTTGCAGTTTGGGTTAAAATTGTTTTTTAAATATTTCATTTTTAGGAATGTAGTCAAGTTCAAAGGGCAGTAGGCAATTCATGCACAAAGGTGGCACTGGGAAGTTAGCTGTTATGTCATTTGCAGTGTTGTAGCAGTGAGCAGAGGTGTAAAATTGCATCTGGTTGAATGTATCATCATGTATAAACTGCCTGATACCAGTTCATTAATTTTTTATCATGTAACTTCATGTCTGCTGTCCCAGGTTATAGAGCAATTTTTAATGAGGATTTTGATCATAAATAAAATGTTTTAAAAATAATTGCAGTGAGTTTGTTTTAATGACTTGTATGTACTTGGCAGAAGGGTGAAGGCATTCAAGTTTGCCTCCATGGTACCTTTCAGGGTCTTGCTATATAAAACCTGAAGTGACATGCGTTTATATGTTTACACACATATGGGGGTACTGCTATTCCCCCCCCCCAAAAAAAAACAGTGAAACATTCCTTGTGCTTAATTGAACACTGCCATGAAGACATATGGCGGAATGGAGGTGTAGCTGAATCATGAGTGGCAATGAGTGGTCAGCTTCATGCCCTAGCCACTTTATCTTTGAGAAAAGAGGCCCAAGTACCCATTTCCTGGGTCCCGGTGCCGGTATGGATGCAGGAGTAGAGAAAAATCACTTGTCCTACAAAGTGTCAAACCCCAGCCATTCAGACCATAGCCTGATATTATTTATATGTATATGTATATATATATATATATATGTATAATAATGACTGATATTAATAATATGTATTCATTTATTGTACTATATGTAATTACCGCCAAACAAGATAACTTTATTAAGTTGTATATAAATTTAATTTTGTACTGATGTGTGTTATTTCTTATAGTTTTTTTTGTAGGATGAATATAGCAGTAACTGCTAATATACTGTCATGTATCGGGGTTTTTGTGACTAATAATAATGGGTTCTGGATTTATTGCCACTTCTTTACAATTACAATCAAATGTGACAGCTCACAATCAATGACTGCCTGTGACATACTCCATTCCTTACTGGACTGTGAGCGTCTCCTCTTCCACTGACACATTGAACTGCCTTGGACGTCTGTCTGACAAATCCGCCCTTCTTGTCTGCATGGGTCCTTATATAGGCTAGCTCATATCCATAGAAACTGTTGGTCGCTTGCACATATCCATCTAAATTATTTGTTGTGATGAAAACACGCTTACCGACACGTTGGCTGCTAAGCAACTGAGGTCGTACTGTTGACTGCGTTTCACGTGTTCTTGGCCAGATCATATTTATTGTTTCATTTCTTTGTCTGCATCTGATTTTGCTTGGTTGGCTTTTCTTCCTTCTCGCCAGACATTCATTTTGGCTTCCATCAGGGCTATCAGCTGTTCCAATGTGGCTATCATGGGATCATATGGCTCCATGATAATCTGTCATGTAAATTACAATCCAGTGATGCACATTTTAATGCAGTCCAATAATTTGGTCATGACTTTATGGCGTGACTAAAAGTGTGAGAGTATAAATTCTTCTATGCAATAATTCATTCCAGTCGATCAAATCCAACAAATTCTGACACCAAAATGTCACATATCAGGTTTTTTGTGACTAATAATAATGGATTCTGGATCTGATGATTGGATTTATTGATACTTCTTTACAATTAAAATCCATTGTGACAGCTGACAATCAGTGACTGTCTATAAGTTGCTCCCTTTCTTACTGGACTATGAGTGTCTCCTCTTTCATTGTGATGAATGATGAATGACGAATCACTGCTCACACATTGAACTGTCTTGAACGATGTCTGTCTTCTTGTCTGCACGTCTCCATATATAGGCTAGGTCAGGTCCATGGAAATCATTTGTCGCTTACACATGTCCATGTAATTATTTGTTACCATGAAAGCATCCTTACCAAAAGATTGGCTACTAAGCAACTGAGGTCCTACTATTGACTGCATTACCTCGAGAATGTTTTTACCAAAGCATTGCCTAGCAAATGGTCTTATTCCGTCAATACATTGATAGTGCAGCACATATTTTTCCCTCGACCTCAGGAAGACGATTTTGTGGTCAGTAATATCTCGGTCATTTGTGTGGATTTAACCCTTTCCCATCATACGTTGATATATAATCGACATTGAGACTGTTTCCACAGACGAATGTTGATATATGATCACAAAGTTTCTTTGGTGTTTTTCTGATGATATGTCAGTCATACATTGCTACTTGTCACTATATATTATACCACTGCAATCATGAATGTTTAGTCTGCATTCTTATGCCATCTGGAAGACATAATTTGAACTACTTGAGGAATGAATGGCATTTATATATTACTGCATATCTGTGTTAGCAACATGGCTTTGCTTTTGGGTAGACATCTGCCTTCTGGTGTAAAAGAATGAAAATATGATGCTGTGTGTGTCAAGAATGAAGAATAAAATAGTGCTTTGTCAAATGAAGAACTCGATATGACGACATTGAATTGTAAAATGAAAGAGAAACTGCAAGTGAAGAATCAAGCAATGAAATGTCTGAAAGTGAGAGCGACAGTGGAACAAGTGTTGTACTTGCTGTTGGGTGGGAAGAAATGACCATGTGTGACAAGAAACCCAAGACATGCACATTTAATAAAAATGCAGGGCCACAATTTAACCTGCTACGAGATGCAGAGCCTGTGGATTGGTTTTTTAGTTTATTTTTCAGTGACAAGCTTTTGAATAACACTGCTATAGAGACAAACAGGTATGCAAGACACAAAATTTCAGCTTAGCCTAAGGTCCATTTGAAGTAGCTGGTCTAATTATAAATATAGGCCTAATGCCGTTACCCGACATAAAAGACTATCAGTCTAGTGAGTGGGCAACTCATACCATTTTTTGGGGATGTAATGTCTAGAGTTTCCATGATTTATTCCAGCCGTCTTACAGTGCATACACTCAACCACTTCACTCTTCACTCCCGCACTACATGTTTCAGGACAAAGGTGCCTTCTTCAGGTGCTTTTTGATTTACGTTAAACTACTTCTAGAGTCTTAGAGTTTGCTTTTTGCAGATATTTTGCATGATTCATGATACAACTGAAGAAAGCAATCAGGCCATCAAAAGAACAAGGAAAGTACATGGGGTGATAGAATATATAGAGAAACAGTTTCAGAAATATTTTGTGCCAGGTAAAAACATTGCAATAGTTGGGTTCAAGGACAAAATAATTTTCACAACTTATAATCCTAAAAACCTATGAAGTGGGGCACCAGATTATTTGTATTAGCTGACGGAGACACTGGTTATGTTCACAGTATAATTCCCTATTACAGAAAAATTACAGGTGACTTGTGTAACGTGCCATACTCAGAAAAACCTTTCATTTCAAGAATAGTTCTTTCCTTGATGGACAGACTAGAACTCAATGTGTCTGGTGCTGTAGGTTACTGCCTTTTCACTGACAGATGTTGTAATGTTCAGTTGGCCCAAGAATTGGACAATTAAAAATTCCACACAACAGGTACTATTATTGCTGGTAGAGTTGGCAATCCAAAACCATTGACGAAGGGGGACATGAAAAAATGAAGAGTGGGGATACATTTACCTAAAGAGGGAATGTCCTGCTAATGGGCTTGGAAGAAAAGAGGGTGGTTCTCATTCTGTCTACATATCATGACACACCATTGGAAAAGACAGTGACACAGCAGAAAGAAATTCAAAACCCAATGTGTGTACTCGACTATACAAAGCATATAGGTGGTGTAGATTGCAGTGATCATTACTGTGCAATGTATGCTTTCATTCATAAATCTCTGAAGTGATGGAGAAAACTCTTTCTGGTGCCTGCAAGTGTACATTGTAAATTCATACAATTTGTATAGCAGCTGTAAGGCACACATGAGAGCGAAACAACTGTCACATGTAAAGTATCAACCAGCTCTTATTGAAAAGACAAGAAGACAAAAGGTACTAGACTGAATGGTAGCAAGCATTACCCCAAATTCAGTATCTTCTTAATTTCCTCCTGAATCAGGTTTTGATTTGTTATCATCATTCCCAAATATCTGAACTGTGCCACATATTCAAAACGTCTGTTTCATATCTTTATGTCATGATTCTGCCCTGCATATTGGTCATGAGACAACAACATATACTTAGTTCTCTCTGTGTTTACTTCTAGACCAACCTCCTTCCTTGTGTCAGTTAAAGTCTCTGTGTTTTTCTTTATGGTATCTATATTATCACCCAGTATATACACATAATCAACAGAGACTGACAGCTGATGTGTCCCGTTTAATTTCAGTCCCACCTGGTTCTTCTGGACCTTCCTAATGGCATTTTCTAAAGCAAAGGAGTGGCAATAAAGCATCTCCTTGTTTTAGACCATTCTGGATAGCAAATTTATCAGACAAATGTTTACCTATACGGACTTTACTATGCGTTTTTGCACAAACACATTTTAATCAGCCTAACTAGTTTATGGATATCCCAAACTATCAGAATATTGTATAATACTTCCCTCTTAACTGAATCATAGGCTTTTCTTGAACTCAAACAAATGAATATTTAAGAATGTTTTAAAATGTTTCTTATTTATGCAAGATTTGGAAATAATATTGTGACATGTCTAACCGTTGCTGGGCAATGGGAGGTGGAACGAGTTACCACAAAGACAGACCCTTGATAAACGGTCAGTTGCCAAGTTATGCAACAGTAAGGAAAGTGGTGTTCATCTGTACCGAGCCAAGCTGAAGCGTGCTGGTTGCTACACAGCGTTGCCCAGCAATGCCTTTGTAAACATGGCGTCACGCAACAGGGGAGCCCGTGCAGCGACTGTTGCTAGGCAGTTGGTAAACACGATGTCACGCAACAGTGAAAGCTATCATGTAACTCTTTTCTGTGTTGTCAGTGCGGAAGCTACATAACAGGAGTATTCGTCAGTGAGAGGTAGTAACCAGTTAGTTGCAGTCTAGCATTTGCCGGAGTGAATGGAAGCAGACGAAGTAATTGTGATACTGCCAATGGCAGTAATTGTGAGATTGTAAATTGTGTAAATGTAAGAGCGAATGTGCAATAAATTCGCTAGATCCAGAACTGCATGAAGTTATTTGTCACGTCACATACCCAACACGTGACAGTATATTGAAGAACTACAGGAGATGGATAGAATGATGGAAACACTAAGAAAGAGGGACAGAATTTGTGTTGTCTACACTGATGGAACTTAGTTGACAACACTGAATATTCTTTCATTTTTAGTGCTCTGTAGTGTTCTTCTCAGTGCATTATTGACTTTGTTGAGTGACAGTCCATGGGAAAGAATAAGAAAATGGTAGACATGGCTGATTTTGAAAGAGGACAGATCAGATCATTGGTGTGCATTTAGGTGGCGCATCTGTGACAAAAACTGCCACATTATGAGGTCTATCGAGAGCGACAGTTTTCTAAGGTTATGTGAGCATACACAGACCATGGGAAGATAACTTCAGCAAAGAGGAACAGTGGATGAAAATGAACATTTACAGAAAGAGATTGTCATACACTGAGGATTGTTTTGAAAAATAACAGAACTACTGCAGCACGAGTGACAGGACAGCAGAACTGAATATTCATCATGAAGACCATTTCCACAAAAGCTGTTTATTATCCCAGAAATAAGCCCAACCCCAATGTATTTACCTGTATCTGAAAGTTATAGTCCCTGTATGTTAAGCAATTTTGAATGCTGATATTTATCAGGTGATACTGATGTTCATTAGATGATGCAGATGGTGAAAGAGATGCACAGAAAAAGAGAAAGCTTATTCTGTCATTTGAGGAGTACAGGACACTGTCTACTATGCTGATTGTACATATGAGAAATGAAGAAATTCGAGCAGAAAGAGAAGGTAAGTTCCTACATTCGTGACTGTACATCCTATCATATTTGCTCTTTGTAGTGTTTTAATTCTTCTGTTACAGTTCTCAGTTGCTCAGCTGTATTTTGTATACAAAGAACTCATGCCAGAATCAGCACAGGGCTGCTTGGTAAAGGTAGCAACATACTCCTTTTGCCAAGAAATCAGAGTAGTTATTATTACCATTGGAAAGTTTAAAAACTGATGGAAAAAATAACTCTCTGTAATATCATCACGAATATTCCTCTGTTAGCCCAGAGTTTGTAGTTTACTGTTCAGAATAGATATCTCTGTTTCATAGCATTATGGTGTGGCACCACTGTAAACTAATTGTTTTGTGTACCACATCTCTTGGTCGATTAGTTTTTTCTGTGTTGCCCAATCATATGAGGTTCTTGTGTCTCAGTTTTTATCCTTTTTCACTCTGCGATGAGATCATGGGCCTGGTGTAAAAATAATCACCACTTTGTTGTACTCAAGTACCCTTTTGCATTAATATTGTATCTCTTTATAATATATTTCTACTGTACATGGCCATCATTGCACACACATATACCTATATGTATATATTAGTTTTACTAAACTGTTTCACTGTATGTTATTTTTCATGTGTGAATGCTGTGCCTGGGTTTGATATCAGATTGGGTCATGTAGGATTTGTGGTGGACAAAGTGGCACCGGTCAGGTTTTGTCTGAGAACTTCAGTTTCCCCTGCCAGTTCTTATTCCACTGACTGTCTCACACTCATCATCATCATCTATCAGCTGGGGCTTGTACAGTAGGTCAAATAGTGGCAAACATACCAAATAGACTGTCTCACGCCACCCCAAGAAAATTTTGTATGTGAAGGCGATGTTAATTTCTTAATATTATTTTATATGTATAATTTACTGAAGAGTTAATTACAGATGCATTAAAAATATGTTCACTAAAATGTTCAGTCCTGTTGAGCTGTGTGTGTTGCATTCAGGGCTAGTATGTGGGTGTTACATAATGTGGTGGCCTGTGTGTATAGATAGATACCTACTGAGCTAGCTCCCTTGCTGTGGTGCCCTGTGTGTGTAGAGATTAATGCAGAAACTTCTTCACTTCTTGCTTCTTCACCATCATCGTCTACTGGGTCATCTGATTCAGAAGAGCCCCTTTCTCAGTAACCACCACTGCCAGCACCACAAGCAAACCTTCAACTTAGTGTTAGCAAAACTTTTCATTTAAAAGTGGTGTTGTTATTGTGTTCTGAATCTTCATGTCTTGACATAATAAAATTGATGATATGAAGGACTGCTTTTACAAGGAAGTAGAATGTGTAGTTGATAATTTCCATAAGTACCATATCAACATTTTGTTATGAGATTTCAATGTCAAAGTAGGTAGGGAAGACATTTTCAGCCCAACAGTTGAGAGTGAGACTTCACATGAAATTAGTAATGATTATGGAGTTAGAGTCGTAAACTTTGCCACATCCAAAAATCTGACTGTCAAAAGTACGATGTTCCCACATTGTAACATTCATAAATTTACTTGGACTTCTCCAGATGCAAAGACCCATAATCAAATTGACCATATTTTGATAGATAGGGGATGACATTCAAGTGTACACGATATCTGATCGTTCACGGCAGCAGATTATGATACTGACCACTAACTGGTGGTGGCAAAAGTTAGAGAGACTGACAGTGAGTAAATAAACAATGCACAAATTTCATATAGAGATTCAGTCTGAAGAAATTAAATGATTTAGAGGGTAAAGAGCAGTATCACGTTGAATTCTGAAATAGGTTTGAAGCTCTGGGAAACAGATGCTGAGGTGGATATTAACACTTTGCGGACCAGTGGCATATTTTTATGCCCAGCGCTTTTAAACGTGGCAGACTGGTGGCATATTATTATGACTTTGGGACACGTTATGTTGAAACACGCTATACCTTGCATTGGCGCCAGGCAGACGCATGACTGGTTCGTGATAGACCTCTTGAATGTTTGCTTCGTAGTCAGTAACATGACCCCACTGTTTATGACCCAACTGTTTTCCTTTCTCACTCCAAAAGAAAATGCCTTTGTTCATCTTCCAGCTGCATGCACCAGGCAGGAAGTTACTAGTGCAAAATGGATCAAGGTTGGAAGAGGTTGAGGTCCAAGTGTTTTCCCGGAGAACAAGAAATATCTGACTTGTTCTCTGATGAGCTATCTGACGTCCCTTGTGAGTCTGCTAATGACAGAGACTCACAATCTGATAGTGAATGTGGCAGGGGTGAACAAAAAATTGTGGCCACAGGCAGTGAAAGTGAAAGTGACAGTAGCTCTGACGAAAGTGCGGGTAGAAACATTGCGGAGACAGCCACATGGGGAAAAGTAGACAAAACGCCTGCTTTGGGACAGTTTACTGGAAATCCAGGGGTGAAGCAAATTCCATCGGACCCAACGCAAGTGTCTGACGTAGCGGAACTGTTTTCCACAGTTCACAATTTGAGCGTGGTTGATGTTCAAAGGAGACATGGACAGGTAAAAAAGCCTGTTTGTATTTCTGAGTATAATGTGTTCAAGAAGGGAGTTGACAGAGGCGATCAGTACTTGGCCTGTTATTCCCTTCCTTGGAAAACAGTAAAGTGGACAAAGAAAGTTGCCTTGTGGCTTATAAATTGTGCCATTTTCAATTCATTTTTGGTTTTCAAAAATCTAAACCCTCATTCAAAATTGAAATACAAGGCATTTCTGCTGAATGTGGCAAAAGCCTGGGCTACAGACCACACGGTGGCGGCAGAACCGGTGGCAGACACAGTCTTAGTACGACCAGGGCCGTCTACTCCCACCCCACGCAGGCCTCATTTTGACCCTCCTGGGCGACTCGGGTGCTATGCGGAAACATACCCTCGTGAAAATTGTGAAGAGTGAACATGCCAAGGGCAAGCAGCCTTCTAGGCAATGCCGTGTTTGCATAGCACACAACAAAAGGAGTGTGACTGTCTACATGTGCAAGTTTTGTGTAATGCCACTTCACAAAGGGGAACGTTTCCAGAAATATCACACTCTCAAGCACTTCTAGGAGCATTGGTAAGTGTTCTCCAAAAATTTTAGTTCATACAATTAATTAGGAGATTTTATATTAATTTTTAAAGTGAACAGTGCACAAGTTAGGGTAGTAGGTTTAAAGATGCTGGTCCCCAGGGTGATTTAAATATTTAAATTGCCAGTCCGCAAAGTGTTAATAAAGCTAGGGAAACTATTAGAGAGAATATAAGAATTTTCAGCCAAGGAGAGTCTAGGTTATTATGAACTGAAGAAGCATAAGCTATGGTTCAATGAAGGATGCTCAGAATTGTTATATCAAAGGAAAGAAGCCAAATTGCAGTGGTTACAGGATCCAAGCGAAATATTTTTTGGGACAATCTGAACAATACAGGGTCATCAAGAAAGAATGCCAGGATTACAAAACCTCATTCAGAAACTGTTAAACATATTCAAAATGATTCAAGTTTTAAAATGCAGTGAAGGAATAAGTTTTGGATATGCTCAGTTGATGGTGGGTAGCGAGTGATGTTGAGATGGTTGACCAGTCGATACAACTTGTGTGCTAGGCTGGCCATCAGATCATACTGGAGGCATTTACCAGGATATGCTTGAAATTTTTTTTCCCCACAAATTGAAGACTTGTAGAGAGAAACTGGGAATCTGGTCATTTTCATGTAGGATGGAGCACCTTATTTTACCAGTCTGCGCAAAGCCTTGAATGAGAAGTTCCTCAGTGCCTTGATTGGGAGGGGTGAACCAATTTTCTGGCCGCCCAGATTTTATCCAGATGGAATTTCTTTGTGGGGATACCTCAGCAATATTGTGTATGGTGGAAACGTTATCTCTATAAATAGTTCTGTTCATCCCCGATTAGTAGTATTACTGTAATAGGGAACTTAAGTGTCACACTGTGTATAACCCAATTTCACACATTGGATTGAGTTGTTTACAATGCATGCAATATGGCCATGTGGTATGGATATTCACATCTGTGAACTCCATTGCATGATTCTTCAAGACGAAAAGATTATGGCTGGAAGTGATATGGCAAAAATGTACAGTTTTTCGTTTTTACAGACTCCAACACACAATTTTCTTTATGAACATAATTTTTTCCCCTGAAATTTTGTGTCTGAAAGTAACAGTACATAATTTATGTGAGGAAATGCTGGAAATGATGCTGCAGAACACAGCATGTAGAAAAGGAAGCAAATTGCTAATGAATGTTTATAGTATCTTTATGTTCAGTGAACAATAAAATGGGGATAAAGGAGAGAACAGATTTTAATTATGAAACAAAAGTACAAATGTAATTTCTTTTAAATTTGTCAATTAGAAATGACAGAATTAGATCACAATGTAGAAAAACAATGAATAGTTGAGAAAATAACATTTAAAATGCTAGTAACAAACACTGGCACAGTTTTTAAGAATAATATATAATCTCACTTCTAAAGGTGTTGGGAGACTTCCATGATGTGAGTTTTATGTAAGATGATTTAACCCGTTGCCGTGGTTCGTCGTGTATGTTTCGTCAGGGATTTAAATCGTCTGGGGGGGTTCGGCGTGTATGTTTCGTCCAGCTGCACACCTATGTTATAACGCCCATAATAATTGATGGTTTTGCTGTAGATTGTTAGATTTTTCGCTGGCCTGTTGTCACAAGAACAGAGTATACTAAGCCAACGAGTTTAGCTGAGATAAGTCATCGTTACATATGCCTGTCTTGCAGCAAATTNCAAATGTAATTTCTTTTAAATTTGTCAATTAGAAATGACAGAATTAGATCACAATGTAGAAAAACAATGAATAGTTGAGAAAATAACATTTAAAATGCTAGTAACAAACACTGGCACAGTTTTTAAGAATAATATATATTCTCACTTCTGAAGGTGTTGGGAGACTTCCATGATGTGAGTTTTATGTAAGATGATTTAAATTAGCAGTGTGATAACAAGATTTTAGGATTCACATTTGATTTACATAAACTAACAGTACAAAAGCACTGGTGGTGGCATATGGATATACTGATGTAAAAGAAGTAGTGCTAATGATTTTCTGAAAATTAAAATTGTAAAGTGAAGGAAATTGACAGAAAATGTACAATTGATATTCATAATAGAGTTTCCAACTTCAAAATCTGAAAACAGGAGGCTGTTGTCCTGGTGGCAGTCTTCTTATGCACAGACTTCATTATGGCATAGAAATTAATGTTATGCAGTTCATTGTGCCTGTGAAAACAAAAAATGAGGAAATGTCCCCTTGGAATTTTGTTATGTGTGGCTGCAAATTGGGTGAATATGTGGTGAGAACACAGCCTTAACATGCACCACTTTAATCCTTAGACAACTGTAATACTTATAATTACCAATCCATTTTGATGAGTACTATGGCTCCAGCCACTTAAATATATGTATACTTGCAGAGCAAGGAAGCAGTGAAGGTTTGAAGCGGAGTGATGTGGTGGCTTGGTACCTAGAGCAGGTACAAGATCAGATTGAGACTGAGGAAGAGTTGGTCGAGAGGAAGGCACTGGTTGAGAAAGTGATTGACCGACTCATTTACCATGTGAGTTAATGCAATTTCTTATTGAGTATGAAAGTTATAATTAAAACTGTTTTTTTAATCAAGTCTGTAGTTGTTTGATGACTGTATGACATATGGCCAATTTTTGGACTTCATCCACCCTTCCCTATACACCTATACCATCTGAAAATTTTGTTAGATTTCACTGCCAAAGTAGGTAGGGAAGACATTTCCAAACCAGCAATTGCAAAAGAGTTTACAGAAAATTAATACTGATAATGGAGTTAGAGTAGTAAACTTTGCCACATCCAAGAATCTGTCAGAAGTATAATGTTCCCACATTGTAACATTCATAAATTTACTTGGACATCTCCAGATGGAAATACAATCAAATTGACCATATTTCGACAGACAGGAGATGGCATTCAAGTGTTGTGCTTCATGTCTGATTATTCAGGGCAGCAATTTTTGATACTAACCACTATCTTGCTGGCAGTGAGTAAACAAACAGCGCACATATTTATGTGGAGAGGTTCAATTTCAAGAAATTAGAAGAGGTATAGGGTAAAGAGAAGTACTGTGTTGAAACCTGAAATATGTTTGAAGCTTTAGAAAACCTAGAAAATGAATTCGATGTTAATAGAGCTTGGGAAACTATTAGATAGAATATAAAAATTTCAGTCCAGGAGAGTCTAGGTTATTATGAACTGAAGAGGCATAAGCCATGCTTCCAAATTACAGTGGTTACAAGATGCAAGCAAAATAAATGGGGATAGTCTGAATGATATAAGATGTGAAGCCAGCAAGCATTTCAGGAAGAGAAAGGGAATATTTGAAAGACAAAACTAATAGGTGGATGGATGTTCGGGTATTTGGATGGTTGCACTGATAGACGGACACTTACTTAGTATGAGGTTGGGCTAAATGTAAACAAAGAGAAAACTAAGTATATATTGTCTCATCACCAGAATGTAGGGAAAATAATGACATAAAGATACTTAGCAGATTCTTTGTTAATGTGGCACAGTTCATATATTTGGGAACAACAGTAACAAATCAAAATTTGATTCAGGAGGAAATTAAGAGGAGACTGAATTTGGGTAACACTTGCTAGCATTCAGTTCAGAACATTTTGTCTTCTTGTTTGCTGTCTGAAAACCTAAAAATTAAAACATAACGAAACTATGATGTGTATGTATTAACCGTCTTCTAGTGCACACAATCTCACTTGTCACTTCACTACATGTTTCGGCATCACTGTGCCATCCTCAGGTGTGTTATTTACATTAAACTATTGCACTGCTCACCATCATGTGTTGTTTATAAAATGATTTAAAATGTATACTCGTCATGTACTATAATTAAATTTGTTAAGATTTATCATCTTATACGTCTTATTTCAAACTCGCATATATCATTCTTCCTATATTTTGTGTATACTGTGTCTTGTTATGTGTCCTTCTGTGGCTGCGTGCGTTGTAATGATGGATGTGTGTGTGTGTCTTCGTATTCAATATGAATTGTCAGAACAGGAAGCCAAGTTTGGTACAATCACCGTATTGAATGGTTTGGATTTTTAAGTAATTCAAAATTGAGCAGCCTTAACATTTTGGAATGTAGAAGCCATGCATACTGTCTGCATGTTTGGAGAGGAAAGAATCAGTTAAGAGTGACAGATGAGCATTTTGACTACAATGCAGTGTTTTGCTTACTTTTTAGGATTTGAAAATTAATGCATTCATTTCTGAGGTCTCTGTGGAGCTTCTGTAGAGCAGGCATGTCCAATGCGTCGATCGCACGATGATTTTTGGTCAATATCATAGTCCTATAAGGAAATTATACGTGAAAAGCATGTAAATTCACTTGTAATATAATATGATTATATTCAGATTTTGAAGAGAAAATACATATTAAAGTAGTCTGTACGTTCAATGTATGTAGCTTTTATGACGATAGGAGGAGGTGGTAGATGACTGGCAGTTTTGACACTAAAAAGTTGATCACACCCTGTTCGAAGTTGGACATGCCTGCTGTAGAGTAAATGTGTATTGTGAGATCTGAAGTACTGATGGCGGTGACTATGAAGGTTACTGTCATTTGGGATGTAATACTAACCAACATTTTGGAGTAACCTGCTGCCTTGATTTCTCATTCTCTGTCTGCCCTTCAGATGGAAGCAGCAAGCTCCTTAGAAACATTAGTACCCATGTACCACACTACATGGCAACACATGCTATAAGACCGTAATGATAGTTGCATGTTCATTAAAATTTATTTCCTTCAGTGACAACTGCAGGAATTCACAGGACTTTGTATGTGTGCATGTGTGGGGGTTGTGTTTGTAATCATGTGTGCAGAATTATCTTTTTTATAGTTGTGTGACATGTTTAATTAGTAATTTAATTCAAAATAATAAAAGTGCACTTATTATTATTATTTTGTAGGATCAAGTTATCATCCCATTAATGAAGACAGGACTGAAGGGAGGTGAAGAGTCAAGTGAAAGTGATCCACTGCTTGTGGTGCACCCAAATTACATTATAGAAATGTGATTGGCATATTAATCATGACTGGCAAAAGGTAAAGATGTCCATGTGCTTAACTAATTAAGCACTATTCCATGAAGGTGTATGGGGGAGTGGATGTATAGATCCAGCTTCACATCCCGGCGGCATGGGAGGCTGGGTGGGCCCCAGAGCCAGTCTGGATGATGTGGAAAACAAAATTTTTGACCCTATCGGGACTCAAACTTCCGACCCCTTGGTCATTCAGCCCATAGCCCGTGCTCTAACGGCTCCTAGTCAATTAAAAGTACTGACAGTTAATTTTTATCAGTTATACAAACAAGAATCACATCACACAAAAATGTGGTTAATTTCCCACACAGTTCTCAATTTCAATACAGTCCCTTCAAAATTAAGTGCAGAGTGAACTCTGAACTTCTGCTGATATTACAGAACTGGTTTCTTGAGCCCAGTCTCTGGTTGTGGATGACAACGCTGATGAAGTGCTCAATATAAGAATTCTGAAACGTGCATTTAGTTGCAACCCCATGAGTTTTTCTGCTGCTAAGCTACAAAGCTTAATGCAAATGTCACTTTCTCCAAGTCATCTAATGTCTAATGATGCTAGCACAAATGGCTCCCACAGACATTCGTGCCATTTCAGGAGTCATTATGTCAGCAGGAAGTTAGAAAGCAAAAATACAGAGGCATTATTTTCCTATTTACATACTGATGTGCCAGGATCTTCTTCCTCTTTAAGCTCCTCTGACTGACTGCTTCACCAATCAACCTGTTTCTTCACTTACACCACCAAGGAGTAGAGATTCTTGTGATGACTCTCACATTACCATTCACTATTTTTTGGTGAAGTGAACAGCTGGTAGACCTGATTATGTATGTTGAGGGGGCATTCCATTGAAGCAGTGAAGAAAAAATGAAAGGAACTAAATGCACAGAATTTAAATACACTTATTAAAAGTTATTACTGTTGAATTATACTAGTATATTATATTTCTTAATCCAATTAATAAATATTATTAATGAGACTAATTTTTTAAACAATTATGCAACTATAATTTACATTTTAAGTTACTTCACAATTTTCAGTTTATTGTTCCCCTCTGAAGCGACTGAGATCAAAAGAAACAAGTGTCTCCTACCCAAACCACTGTCTTTTTAACCTCATGATAAAGACTGCTCACTTTTCTTTCCAGCTCATTTTTTCAGTAGAAAGGTCTTATTATGCAAGTCTTTGATGACCCTTTAAATTAAATCCACTACATTACTCTAGTTCACTCATTACTAGTGCCAAGGTCAAGAATACGTGGTTCTGTATGTCCCCCTCACGCAATGTCTTTATGGCATAGTGCTTAATTAGTTAAGCACCTTTGTGCTATTATATTTCTCCAGAATCAACACATCTGTTTTAAGTTAATTTTTGTATTTAATATATGAAGCATCCCATGAAATTATATTTTGTCTGATGATCAATAAAGCATAGTTTTGTTCATTTGACCAATCCATAAGATTTATCTCAGTATACTCAATACAAATGACATACCAGTCAGTAACTCAATGAATTTTTATTCAGAGCAGAGAGGGGAGGATCATAGATAACATACAGTAAATAAGATATGCTGCTGCAGAACTACGTTTACAAGCTGTCGATAAATTTCAATAACTACACTCTACTAATCAATAGCTTCCACAGTTCAAGTAACCATCATAACTGTAGAAAGATGTCATATCACGTGTAAACTCAATATTAAGCAGATACTGATATCCATTTACTCTTGTACCATGCGACTCAGTTCATTTCCCATGTCAGTAAGAAAGTTTAGCAACTGCAAGCAACTCCAGTTTTTCATACCATTGTACAAGCATGCAACACAGAGCTTGTGGGATGTCTGCTGAAAGCCAAAATTGTGAAGCCAGCAGAGGCTCTGAAAGCATGCCCGTTGCCAGGCAATGTCCGCAACAATGAGACCTGCTGGAAGCGGTATTCTCTGCGCGGTCTGTGCCAAGTCTATATATAACAAGATCAGCTGCCATTACTGAAGAAGGGTTCTCAGACAACAGAAGAGTATGAGAAGGTTGGTGGGAGATGGATCCAGCGTGAGCAGAGTCCGAGTCAAGAGAGAGAGAATTTCTGCAGATGCTGGTAGCTGAGGCCAGGAACGATTCAGGAACCATGAGGAAGGGGAACATCTTCCATTGGAAGCTGCTACGAAGCAGCGCAGTGAAGACTGTGACTGAGAACACTAATCTGTGTGTGACAGAGATCTGTAAAGTGCAGTCATGAGTAGTTTAAGAGTTCAATAAATCCAATTACTAAGCAAACCCTGTCTATAGTCACTCTTTATCATATGACAATATTGTTCTTTTAGTCTAAACCCACCTACCTCTGCTGCTCTAAGATGGCCTACACACATCAGTATGTACGAGGTGACATATCTTCAAATTACCCTTCAAACTGAATGACTTATTACACACATAACAGGTAAATGGCCATTCCCCACTAAGTATGTATGCTCTNACTGAGAACACTAATCTGTGTGTGACAGAGATCTGTAAAGTGTAGTCACGAGTAGTTTAAGAGTTCAATAAATCCAATTACTAAGCAAACCCTGTCTATAGTCACTCTTTATCATATGACAATATTGTTCTTTTAGTCTAAACCCACCTACCTCTGCTGCTCTAAGATGGCCTACACACATCAGTATGTACGAGGTGACATATCTTCAAATTACCCTTCAAACTGAATGACTTATTACACACATAACAGGTAAATGGCCATTCCCCACTAAGTATGTATGCTCCGATGCCTCTTCAGATTACTCTGAACACTGAATGACTTATTACATACATCACAGGTAAATGGTCGTTCCCCACTATGTATGCGCTGATGTGTCTTCAGATGACTCTGACAATTAAATGACTTATTACACACATCACATTTAAATGGCCGTTCCTCACTGTGTATGTGCTCATGTTCCTTCAGACTACTCTCAACACTGAACGACTTATTACACATGTTACAGCTAAATGGCTGCTCCCTACTATGTTTGCGTTGATGTGTCTTCAAATTGCCCTTCAAACTGAAAGACTTCTTACACACATCGCAGCAAAATGGCTGCTCCCCACTATGTATGCGTTGGTGCCTCTTCAAATCACCCTGATGACCAAATGACTTATTACACACATCACAGCAAAATGGCCGTTCCCCACTGTGTATGCGTTGATGTGTCTTCAGATTACTTTGACAACTGAATGACTTATTACACATGTCACAGTTAAATGGCCGTTCCCCACTATGTATGCGCTTGTGTTCCTTCAGACTACATTGAACACTGAATGACTTATTACACACGTTGCAGCTAAAAGGCCGCTCCCCACTATGTATGCGCTGATGCCTCTTCAGATCACCCTGATGACTGAATGCCTTACTGCACACATCACAGCAAAATGACCACTCCCTACTATGTATGCGCTGATGATGCCTCTTCAGATCACCCAGATGACTGAATGACTTATTACACACATCACAGCAAAATGGCTGTTCTCCACTATGTATGCGCTGATGTGCCCTCAGATTAAACTGTTGACTGAGTGATTCATCACAGGAATATTGCTGCTCCTCACCATGTACAGGCTGGAGTTCTCTCAGAGTACCCTGGAAAATGGAGGAAATAACATGAAGAGAAGTGAGCTTGAAACCCCAGTGCAGTGAGTGAGATGTTAAGCAGGTAGGGGTGAGAGAGAGCAAGCTATTGCATGTACCCTTGTGTTCATCAGTATGTATGGCTGGCTCTGTAATAAGAATTAATATGGACTGCTACAGTTGAGGTTACCACAGGTAGAAGCATGCCATTCACAATGTTTTAAAAAGGAATAATTTCCAACATATAAAACAACTCCTATTCATAATGTTGTATTTTAGCGTCCTGTTACACTGATTTTCATTCATGATATGTATACAGTGGCCATCTTGTAGTGCACTCAATTTCACCTGTTACTTCATGACACGTTTCGGCAACATTGTGCCATCATCAGGTGCCCTAATTACGTTAATCTATTGCATTGCTTACCCTAATATGTCTTCACAACACCATTAAAAAGTATTTAAAAAGTGCGTATTTGTCTTAAAATAATTTTTACATAAATATACATCACTATTTTAAGTTATCAGTTGGTTTTTATATTCCAAACTATATCGAACAATAACTTAACATTTGGTGTGTGTGCGCACGTATAATGAAACCTGGAGGGTCCTGCATGGCATACATTTTGTGAACTTGATTGGTTCCAGCTTGCATTTTTGCTTGTAAAATTTCTTTATAGGATGACAACACATCTTCCAGTTCACATTCAACCTTTGCAGAATGATCACGGAAAGGACCGCTGCCTCCTTAATGTTGCTGCAGGTTGCTCTTAAGCCTTTTCATTGATCAGGTATTTTTTTTTTCTGAAATAACACTCCCATCATCGTGGTCATCTTGTGCTTCTTTATATGTTTGCATGTCCACCTTTGCCAGTTCCTCATTCATTAATGGTAAAGAACAAGATTCCAACAGTTCTATAATATCACTAACATTCTGGAATCCTGCCTCTTCTGCTACAGTTATAACTAATTTCCTCCTTCTCTTGAGGGCTACACTCACAGGAATGTGTTGATAAAATTCTGGATCCATGTTGCAGAACACCTCTCAAAAACCTCCATCATGTCACACTCTTGATGTGTAATTTTCACATTCGAGTGGTTTAACTGGTTAAGCAGAAGCCTTTGGTTTCAATTCCCTGTACGAATCATCATATCAAGGGTTTGAAGAGCGCATGCAATGTCTATTTCACATTCGCCACTTTTCTTGGATGTGTAACACCTAATGTCACATGAATATTATAACCAGTACGCTTTCTCTTGAAACTATGTTCTTCACCCATGGCTTCAGAAGGGGCAGTAAATTTTCCATCAGGAAAATAATATGTAGTTGTTACAATCTTACTTAGTAGATAAAATGTGCCTTACAAGTTCCAGCCCTATAGGGTGACCATGAGAGGCTCGCATGTTAGAGGAGACTGCTTAGCACACATTCGTTCCTAGCAGTAATACATACTTACATAACATGTAAAACCCAAGGCAGATGAGAGGGTAGCGAGTTCTTTCTTTATGTAAAATTGCCAATGGTGCGCTTATAATTTTATAGATATTATGTTTTCTGTTAGTGTTCCTTTTTTCTATGCATATTTTGTGGAAAACATTACTGTTATATTATTGCCTCAGTCTGCAAACATAAAATGGTGTAATAGGCTACTTTTCTTTAGCCTGAGTTGGGGGGGGCAGTGTCACCAAATGTATTGTAAATTTTTCATACCTGCCCATCCCTTGCTGTGTGTAGCATGCTGTGCTGGTGATCTGGCCGGTGTCTTGGGTGGTACTGGAAGGAAGATGTGTGGTGTATGTGGCTTATCTTGTGCAATTACTATATTGAATACAATGTTTTTAGTCTCTGTTTTGTACAACCTTGAGAAGATTTATATTTCTGTATTTGTATATTTATATGTAAAAATTTTCTTTGATGCTCATTAATATCCCTTTTTTGGCATGTCATACTGGTGTCTATACTTTTGGATGCGATGCTGATTCCTCCTCACTGTTTTTATACTTCCTATATGCTCTCTGTATCTAAAGTTCAGTGATGGTCCTTTCTGTCTAACATAACATACACTCAACTCTCGATTATCTGGGGGCAGATAAACTGGTTTGCGGCTTAACTGGGGCTACCGGGGCTTTTTTGAGGCTTATATGTTGTTTAATATTCATTCACTTTTGTTTCACATGGTGAGTTGTAACACTATTTTCACACTAGTGTGAACCAAGCTCTGCATTTTTTGGTCCCGTTATGCTAACACAATGTTGTAGGATAAGGGTGAAAGAATGCAAGGATTTGTGGAAAGTTTCAAGGACAGATAGCCCGCCCGAGTTAGTCTCTTTGTATCGATCTTCAATCATCAATAATCATCAATAAGCTCTCTAGAGACAATATTGAGACTAAAACTCTTATAGCATAACAAGCTGAGCTCAATTTGCTGGCTATTTGTTTGATATGTTCCTTCCATGTTAAAGTACTATCAACTGTCAGCCCAAGGAATTTCAAAGTATTCGTATTATTAATTTGGATATCACCATGTTTAATATTTAAGCTTATTAGTGCATTTGGCTTTGTTAAAAATTGGACAAACTCGTTTTAGTTAGATTCAAAATTAGCGAGTTTATAGAGAACCATTTATTGATTGATTCAAGAGTTTCTTTTAGGGCGATGTCAAGTTCTTTAAGATTTGACTTGCAGCACAATATGCTGGTGTCATCAGCAAATAAAATTGGTTCTGATTATTTATTGTATTTGGCAAATCATTTATATATATCAAAAAGAGCACTGGCCCCAGAACAGAGCCCCGAGGGACTCCCTGTTTTACACTTTGCTACTCCGAAATTCCACTAGTAATATTGCTATTTAGTACTGTTCTTTGCTGTCTATCCCTCAAATAAGTTTTAATTAACTTTCCTGCTTTCCATTAAGACCATAGAACTCTAGCTTAGCAAGAAGTATTGTGTGATTTACACAATCAAATGCTTTGGTCAGGTCACAGAACAGGCCTCCCACAATAAGTTTATTTGTTGCTGTTAGAATAGTATTTATTAAGCCATAGATGGCTGATTCAGTGGACAGTTTAGTTCGAAAACCATGTTGTTCATGTGCCAATATATTATTAGTGTCTAGATGTTGAAATCTATTATATATGATTCTTTCAAAGCTCTTAGAGAAAGATGTCAGTAAAGATATCGGCCTATAATTTGCTATATCAGTTCTATCACCTTTTTTAAAAATAGGATGTATTTGAGAACATTTTAATCTTGAGGGGAAGACACCGAGATTCAATACTTTATTACACATATATGTTAATGGTGCCAATATGAATGGTAAACTTATTT